AATTGAAAGGGTCGTTACTACTACTACTGCAGAGAAATAATGGTTGATCAAAAAATGGAAAATCTGTTTGAATCTATCGGCTGCGACCGTCAGAAAAGCCTTTCCCATTCCTACACAGCGATCAGTGGCAGCGCCCCGGCTTTCTCACCAACAAGCAGTTCTCTAAGTCAACCATAGCATACATGGTCGATATAGATAAACAGATGGATAGACAGAGAGAAAGAGAGAGAGAGAGAGAGAGAGAGAGAGAGAGAGAGAGAGAGAGAGAGAGAGAGAGAGAGAGAAACAATTAGACAGATAGACATGCAGACAGACTGCCAAGTAGACAGACAAGAGGAAGAGACAGGCCGACACAGAGACTGACAGGAAAGACAGGGACAGAGACAGATGTATAAGGAGAGAAAGAAAGAGGGAGATAGGGAAAGTAAATGTAATTTTTCTATTCCATTTGTTACAATGGTATTTATTATGTTTGGTGCGACAAGTTCTTACCAAATTGCTGTCTTTCTATTTTAGCTTCTAGATTACCTACTGGCAAGGAATTTCTGGGTTAGAGAGAAAGAGAGAAGGGTGGGGGGGGGGGGGCAGAGAGAGAGAGAGGGTGGACACACACACACACACACACACACAGAGGGGGGGGGGGCGTCACAGAGAGAGAGAGAGAGGGAGGGAGGGAGAAGGTAGAGAGAGAGAGAAGAGAAGGAAGAAAGAGGGACAAAGAGAAAGAAAGAGAGGGGGGCAGGGTGAGAGAAAGAGAGAGAGAGAAAGAGAGAGAGTGGGGGGGCACACACACACATACAGAGAGAGAGAGAGAGAGAGAGAGAGAGAGATCTTTGGCTTGATTCTAACTGGTATTGTTTTCCTATCTTTTTCACATGCGATTTGTGATTGACAAGTGATCAGACGTTTTTCCAGCCAACGTGTTCTTAATATCATGCGTCTGTTGTCTTACTCTGGAAGGCAACCTTCTCAGTAAATATTCCTTTCAGCAATGTATTTGTTGTGTTTCTTACATGGTATATTGATGAAGTATTTTTCTATTGGTTTGGTTCTCAGTCTTCTGTAATACTCTTTTTTTTTTTCTATTAGCCTTACTTGAAGTACTGTTCCATTGGTCTTCCGTCTCGAATTTTCGTTTAATCCTATCAAATCACGCACCAATAAAGTTCATCATTGTTGTATCATTCATACATCATCAGAAATTTCAATCAATTCTGATTGTTTTGCCTTTTCTAGTACAAGTACACGTCTCAAAAACAAACTATTTTTGTGTTGAGAAACTTTGGGGGAGAACCGTTTTTTCTTTTATAATAGATCCTTTTCTTTATCCTTCATTAAAGCGATTTCGATATTGGAGGGTCTTTGGAGGTTGCTGCTTAGACACTGGCGATCATAACAATGAAAAAAATAAGGATGTGTGTCTGTAGATGAGTGAATGTGCATAAGTTTGTGTGTGTGTTTTATGTTATCGCAGATGCCGTAGAATATGCTAACCCTAGTGTGTGTGTCCGTATGTATATACATACATATGTGCATGAGTGCGTGCGTGTGTGCGTGTGTGTGTGCGTGTGTGTGTGTGTGTGTGTGTGTGTGTGTGTGTGTGTGTGTGTGTGTGTGTGTGTGTGGTGTGTGTGTGTGTGTGTGTGAGTGTGTGTGTGTGTGTGTCTTTATACATATGTATAAATATATACATGTATATATATATATATATATATATATATATATATATATATATATATATATATATAGAGAGAGAGAGAGAGAGAGAGAGAGAGAGAGAGAGAGAGAGAGAGAGAGAGAGAGAGAGAGAGAATAATGATATAACAAAGCAACAAGGGAAGAGCAAAACTGCACGTTTCATTTGCACAACATGAGCTCCGGATATTTCGCCGTGGAACAAAGCGACCAAGGTCACTAGGCCAGTGGGCAGGGCAAGCTAGGGACTCTCCTCAAGGTATATATAACCCAGGAGGATCCTTCGGGAGGCTCAAAGGACTGACCGAGGAAGCATGAAGACTCTGCTTGCTGGTGAGGTTTATATTCTCTTGTAAAACTCTTACAAAGACAAATCTAGGGTTTGGAATGCCGGAGTTACACTGTTTGCCAGTTGCTAAAAAAAAGTTTGTCCTCTCATCTAGTTTGTTTGCTGATGGGGGCGGCTGCCGCCCTCCCCGGCCTTCGTCTGCGGCGCGACTCCTCGCCCGATCTCTTCGAGGTGCCCTCCAACACCTCCCTGGTTCTTGGCGGCATCAACACGGGCTTCGACTGCGCTGACCTCCCCTACGGCTACTACGCCGACGAGGCCAACAACTGCGCCATCTTCCACGTGTGTCTGCCCTACATCGACCACAACGTGTACATCTCCCGCCACTTCTCCTTCATGTGCGCGCCTGGTTCCATCTTCGACCAGGAGCGCCTCGCATGCACCCGCCCGAGTTCGCCGTCCCTGCGCAGGCGGCGAAGGCTACAGGACCTCCAACGGCTACTTCGGCCGGAGTGACATCAACTTCCTCGAGGAATAAAAAAGAAAAGAAAAGAAAAGAAAAGAAAAGAAAAAAAAAAATATATATATATACATATATATATATATATATATATATATATATATATATATATATATATATATATATATATATATATATATATATATATATATATATATATATATATAATCCCTACAGGTCTTATCTTCCCAACTATTCTTCACGGAGCCAAAATTCATACCCAAAAGTTTGTACTTTGACAAAACGTATTCTGCTTTCATCGAGCAATAAAAGAATCAATGAGATATGTTTTTTTTTTTTTTTTTAAAGTTACATTCTTGTATAAAAAATGCAATGGAAAATTAGGAAAAAATGCCTATCAAATCTAACAATTACCCCCATGCAAGATTTGAAGGATACAAATAAAATATGTATGTACAAATACATATGCACAAACGAAATATGTATGTTGGTTATAAGAGGCTTGAAATAACTTAAACGGAAGTGGAGATAGAGAATACTCAGATTTTTACTAAAATCCACAGACTATGTATGCATAAATACAAACATAAGTACACGTATACATCCATCCATCCATCCATATATATATATATATATATATATATATATTATATATATATATATATATATATATATATGTATGTATGTATGTATGTATGTATAAATATATATATTACATATTTATATACATATACATATTTATATACATAGACAATGTATAAATGTACACAAACACGCATACACACACACACACATACACACACGCACACACACACACACACACACTATATATATATATATATATATATATATATATATATATATATATATATATATATATATATATATATATATATATATATATATATATATATATATATATATATATATATATATATATATATATATATATATATATATATATATATATATATATATATATATATATATATATATATATATATATATATATATATATATATATATATATATATATATATATATATATATATATATATATTATATATATATATATATATATATATATATATATATATATATATATATATATATATATATATATATATATATATATATATATATATATATATATATATATATATATATATATATATATATATATATATATATATATATATATATATATATAATATATATATATATATATATATATATATATATATATATATATATATATATATATATATATATATATATATATATATATATGTGGAGTGTATTAATTACCGAGAGGGCGTGGCACTCCAGTTGGCACTCTTCCTGCGACACCTGTGCGCACTTGTCACCTGCGCGTGACTTCTATGGTTCCCCCTAAGCCCGTTTTCTTTCCCCTCGTTATGTTTACATTAATGTTGCAGTTGTTGGTTTTACGGATCCCACTTTTAGTTTAGTATTTTAGGTTGCGTTTTTATTTTATTTAAATTCTAAACCCAGTTGTGAACCCTCGAATTAAGTAATCTATATTTCTGATTGAGACGTGACGTTGCATTATTATTTTTTTATCTATATTTCAGTTTTACATCTTTTACTTCCCCTGAAGATATTTTTTTTACAGTTTTATTTAGTTTTTATACATTTTAGAAGACCTAAAGTCTTGATTTGACACTCTTATAATTTAGTCGAGGATCTATCACTCCCATGACGTATTTTTTTATTTTCATTTTTAGCAAGTGTGTTCTTATTTTCCTTAATCCATTTTACTGTTTTGGTATAAGGTATTGTTTATTATTTTAATTACTTTTCATGTTTTATATAATCTCTTAGGTTTTAATTTTTACTGCTTCATCATTTGAATGTTTTATCGATTATTCCTAATCTTTCTTATTTCTGCAATTGGTAAGCTTTTAACATAAATTTTATTAATCATTTGTTTTTATGAATCATGTTATCATCATTGTGTGTTTTATCTGTATTTATTATTATAAATGTATAAAAATGTTTCGTTGTTCCGTGACGTCACGGGTCCTGGAACCTCCAGGACCTTGAACCAATAAACAGTGTCAACTTGGACTTTGTCGCGTTTCATCTCCCTCTCGGCAGCAGGAAAATCTCAGGTTGTACTGACCCCCGTTGTGTTACTTGCCTAGGTACTATTAAAGCTGGACGTGAAACCTTAATAAGCAGTGATAAAGGCAGATAAGGCGTAAATACAGACGAACCCAGTGATGCTCATTTAACTTTTGTCACGTTTTATTTTTCAAGTTTCCTTTTAATATTTTAACAGTAATGTTGCAGCAAGTGTTGGTGCTCATTTTTGTTTGTTTTTAACGCAATATTTCCTTTTTTTTAATGTCTGCCTTTCATTTTACGTAGGATTTTATTTTTTTACCATACTTTTAATCAACTTTTACTGATTCTACTCTATTCTTACCCTGACTCGTTCTCTTCTCGTCTTCACTTGTTTTCTCACTCATTCTCTCCTCATCCTCTCCTCGTTCTCTCACTCGTTCTCTCACTCGTTCTCACTCGTTCTCTCGTTCTCTCGTTCTCGTTCTCTTCTCTACTCGTTCTCTACTCGTTCTCTTACTCGTTCTCTCTCGTTCTCTCGCTCATTCTCTCGCTCATTCTCTCGTTCTCTCGCTCATTCTCTCCTCGTTCTCATTCTCTCGCTCATTCATTCTCTCGTTCTCTCATCTCTCCTCGTTCTCTCGTTCATTCTCTCCTCGTTCTCTCGTTCATTCTCTCCTCGTTCTCTCGTTCATTCTCTCCTCGTTCTCTCGTTCATTCTCTCCTCGTTCTCTCGTCATTCTCTCTCCTCGTTCTCGCTCATTCTCTCCTCGTTCTCTCGCTCATTCTCTCCTCGTCTCTCGTCATTCTCTCTCGTTCTCTCGCTCATTCTCTCCTCGTTCTCTCGCTCATTCTCTTCCTCGTCTCTCGCTCATTCTCTCCTCGTTCTCTCGCTCATTCTCTCCTCGTTCTCTCGCTCATTCTCTCCTCGTTCTCCTCGTTCATTCTCTCCTCGTTCTCCTCGTTCATTCTCTCCTCGTTCTCCTCGTTCTCTCGCTCATTCTCTCCTCGTTCTCTCGCTCATTCTCTCCTCGTTCTCTCGCTCATTCTCTCGTTCTATTGCGGAAGGACTCTAGAGAAGGAACAGCAACATCCTAAATAGACTCTCTTCAACATATTTTTTTTCTATTTTCAAGGGGAGTGAACGGGACCCCTGATCTCACTTGGTCCCTAAGCCTCTCCTGCCTCACGGGAGATAATTCGGGCTCCTCTACATAGATTAGCACCTGGCCCTAGCTAGGTGTATACCTTACAGATACTTATAATTTTTGGTGGCAGCGGTGGGAGGTTTGCTGTCCTACTAGTGTCCTTCTCGCAATTACGTCCAGCATAATTAGTTGCTTCCTGCTAGGTTATGTCAACCATGTCTGTAGCCTCTTAAGAGGACTTTGGAGAGCCATGTAGTATTGATCAATGTATATTTGTAGTATTCAAGAGCGGTACCCATCTCTTTCAGCATAATCATCTCTTGCAGAGATAGATGTACATGTACTAATAACCGCTCGCCCAGCTAATGGTTTATGGCTCTCGATAGGTTTAGGGATACTTTCCTGATTTCCATGTAAATGTGATAACTTTGTTCCAGCAGTGTGTATAATCTTCCAAAGTGCATAGTGATTATGTTCAGTTCTTGGTGTATCGTTGAGTAATATACTCTACGGTGACTATTTAATGTAAATATCCCGTGGTGACTTAAGTGTAAAGGCCTAAATGTTTTGATCTATTGTTATGTTCTGATTTTGTTTGTTTAGTGACTCCCCAACCCCTGTGTTCAGTGATACTGGTGTTTCCATAGTGTTTAGTGACTCCCCAACCCCTTCAGTGATACTGGTGTTTTGTGGTCCATTGTGTTCAGTGACTCCCCAACCCCTGTGTTGATACTCCCTTGTGATACTGGTGTTTTGTGGTCCAGTGACTCCCCAACCCCTGTGTTCAGTGATACTGTGTTTTGTGGGTGAAGTAACTCATCAACCCCCTGTGTTAAGTGTTGTGAGTGTCCTAGCAGTGATCTAGACAATGCCTGGAAAACCCGAAAGAGTGACCCGCAGTAAGCATGCAGGGACGTTGAGCCAGCCCAGTTCCCGTGCTCCCTCACCTGTGCCCAGTACTTCGGTTGAACAGATGCCGGTCATTGTCCCCTGTTCAAACCCCGAAGTAAGACAAGCAGTACGAGCCATGGAGGGCGAGATGACTCTCTTCTCGGAGATCCTCGACAAAATTGGAGCTTTATCCGCTGACATACAAGAAATCAAGTCGCAGACACAAGATTTCGGCGAGCGACTGGCCCGGCAAGAAGAAGCAACACATCAACAAGGGGTGGAAACGGCATCAACTACCCACTCTAGCCCTCAGAGAGCTCTGCCCACTCCTACCCCTGAGCAAGCGCAAGACAGCAGCAGAGATGAGCAGATCGCAACGCTACGACGACTGTTAAAGGAAAAGGAAAGAGAATTAGAAGAGGAAAAGCGGAAAAGTCGGCCGAGAGATGCTGTCCAGATGTATGGCCGCAATGATGCAACCTGTGATCTTCCTCGGCCCCTTCCCCGTAGCCGACCATCTACACCAGAACCTCCAGTCCAGCCTGCACATTACCCCAACAATCTAAATGTGCCTGAATTCAGCCACGCGCCTTCATATGGGAGACCGCCTCATCTCAAGGGCCGTCCCAAACTGTCTCCTATGTCCTTGCAAGGGAGACTGTTCCTCACTTTAAGGGGGACACTTCAGCTTCACTGCCTCTTAAGAGAAATCAAGAGATTGAGGGCTGGATTCGCTCGATCGAAAATCTTGTGAAGCCTCCAACGAGCGAATCTTTTATTCAAGCAGCACGAGCAAGTTGCCGCGGCCCTGCTGATCTTATCATCAACTCGCCACTCTTTGATTTCATACGTGACTGGGACACATTTAAGGCAGCTCTACGCTCCAAGTTCCGAGGAACCTATACTGC